CTGGAACTCACTCTGTAGACCAGGCTGGCCTCGGACTCACAGAGATCTGTCTGCCTCTGCCTCCCAAGTGCTAGAATTAATGGCATGTGCTACCATGCCTGGCTTTCCTTTGCAGTTTTCAAACTACTCTAGCTGTGGGGACTTCTTTTTGTTCACTTTGTGGTGACAGAATTTAGAGCCCTAGACATGCTAGCTAAGAGCTTTACCACTGAGCTATATCCCCAGCCCTTTCTATGGTATAGTTTCTGATGAGAGCTTTATTGAGATAGATTTCACACTCCGTGCAGTCTGCCCATCTGTACAACTGAGTGCTCTGTTGAAACTTTGGCTACTGTGATTAGACTAAACTACAACCTAAGGTGCAATCCGTTAATCACCACAAGCCAGGACTCAGGCCTTTAATCTCAGCACTTAGGAGGCAGAAGCAGGCGCAGGCTGGTCTCTTTGAGTTAGAGGCCAGTCTGATCTATTTAGTGGGCAACCAGTACAGCCAGGACTATACAGAGAGACCCTGCCACGAAACAAAAACCCGAAAGCCCAGGTCTGGTAAAGTGACACATACCTACAACCCCAGCACTTGGGAGGTAGGAGGAAGAGTATGAGGAATCCAAGATCATCCAACTTCATCACAAGTTTGAGGCCAGCGTTAGCTACATGACACCCTCTCTCAAAAAATAATAGTAGTGATTAAAAAAGAAAAAGAAAAAGCCATGTATCCTTTAGCTATCACCTCATATTCCCATCATGGCTAGCCCCAAGCAATCAGTAACCCACTTTCTGTCTCTATAGACTGCCAGTTCTAGGCCTTTCCTATGCACGGGAGCATGCAATACGGGATGCATGGCCGCATACAATGTGGGATTCATGGGAGCATGCAATACGGGATGCATGGCAGCATGCAATACGTGGTTCTTTCAGTTAACATACTGTTTTCAAGGTTCGTCCACATGAGCGCAAAACAACTGTTCTTTATCCCTTTTAATACTTTTAACTCAATGTGTAAGAATACCACATTTGCCGGACATTGGTGGCACACGCCTTTAATCCCAGCACTGGGGTGGCAGAGGCAGGTGAATCTCTGTGAGTTAAAGGGCAGCCTGAGCCAGTTCCAGGACAGGCTCCAAAACAATACAGAGAAACTCTGTCTAGAAAAACAAAAAGCAAACAACAACAACAAAAAAGAATACCATGTTTGTTCATCTATCCATCAGGTAATGGGCATTAAATGTCACTTTATTCTTTTCTTGTTTGTTTGTTTGTTTTGTTTGAGACAGAGGTTCTGTGAGTAGCCCCGGTTGTCCTGGAACTCACTCTGTAGAGCAGGTTGACCTTGAACTCACAGAGATCTGTCTGCATTTGCCTCCTGAGTGCTGGAATTAAAAGCATGTGCCGCCACTACCTGGCTTATTTTCTTGTTTGCATAAGAAATTTTAAATTCATAACCCATGAGTCTGTGTCTCGTCACTCATTTCTTTCTTCTTTCTTTCCTTTTTTTTTTTTTTTTTTTTTTTTTTTTTTTTTTTTTTTAGAAGTTCTTTTGATTTTTCAAGACAGGGTTTCTCTGTGGCTTTTGAGGCTGTCCTGGAACTAGCTCTTGTAGACCAGGCTGGTCTTGAACTTACAGAGATCCAACTTGCCTCTGCCTCCTGAGTACTGGGATTAAAGGCATGCGCCACCATCACCCAGCTCATTTCTTTTTATTGACTCCAATAATGCATGTATGTATGTATGTGTGTATATATATATATATATATATATATATATATATAAATTATATAGTCAGGACACAAATAATAATGACAGATGAAGTAAAATGTAAAATCCCCAACTCTTCTGCTTCAGAATTATTCTTTAATCTCTCCAGAAGCAATCCCCAGTGACAATTTGCCCTGAAACTTTCTGGTCACATATGTTAGATCTTATCACATAACACCTTATTATCACTATGGGCTTCATAGGGACCAGGGCTCCTACCACACTCTGAGCCATTGATAGCTCTTCTGGGTGAGGTGGATCTCATATATATATGTAAACTCAATGTATTTGGGGGGCTGTGGTGGCACATGCTTTTAATCCCAGCACTTGGGAGGCAGACAGAGGTAGGTGGATCTCAGTGAGTTTGAGGCTAGCTTGGTCTACAGAGCAAGTTCCAGGACTGTTATACAGAGAAACCCTGTCTTGAAAAACCAAACAAACAAACAAACAAACAAAAACCCATAAATAAATAATAAAGAAATAAACTCAATGGATTCTGGGGGAGAATGGGGGAGTCTTGTAAAGGGACTTTTACTTATCCATAAACATTCCCATTCAGGTGTGGATGGGACAGTGAGTGGCTGGGAAGAGGCCAAAATAAACAGCTCCAGCCCTCTGCGCTATGACCGCCAGATTGGGGAATTTACAGTCGTCAGGGCTGGGCTCTACTACCTTTACTGTCAGGTAAGCTCTGCCTGGCTCCATGGGCAGAGCAGTGGCTGGGGGGAGAAGTATTTGGCTTGGGAGATAGCAAGGAGGGCAAGATAATACGTGGGAGAGGGGACTCTTGGGTTTTATGAGGGAAGAGATGCCTGGATTTCTAAGGGAATTTGAACTTCAGATGCGGCAGGCCTAGGCCTGGACTCTGCCTGTCCTCCTCCTACCCCAGGTGCACTTTGATGAGGGGAAGGCCGTCTACCTGAAACTGGACTTGCTGGTGGATGGTGTGCTGGCCTTGCGCTGCTTGGAGGAGTTCTCGGCTACAGCAGCAAGCTCCCCTGGACCCCAGCTCCGCCTGTGCCAGGTGTCCGGGCTGCTGCCCCTACGGCCAGGGGCTTCCCTTCGGATCCGTACTCTCCCCTGGGCTCATCTTAAGGCTGCCCCCTTCCTTACCTACTTTGGACTCTTTCAAGTTCACTGAGGGGTCCTGCTTTCCCAGACTCCCTAAACTTGACCCAAACATCTCCCAGAGCACCGTGACCCCCAATCCCGAGCTGCTGCTTGCTCCAGCCCTGTCTCTCTAAAGGCAGCCGGGGCTTGTTCACGTGTTTTTCCTCCCACAGAAATATCCCTGTTCTTCTTCAGCACCCCATCCCACCCCAACCGTCCGACTTACTAGCTCCCAAAGCCCCACTTATCCCTGACTCCCCTGGCCCCAGCCCCCAGGACACTGTGTTTACTGACTGTGTGCATCAGGCACTGAGATGGGCTGGACCTGGTGGCAGGAGGTCAAAGAGCCTGGGACTAGGCCAGACATTCCCAAATGTGAGGGGTAAGAGCCTTAGACAGGCTCCTCCCTGGATCCCTGTGGATTTTGAAAAGATACTATTTTTATTTTTATTGTGACAAAGTGTTAAATGGATATTAAAGAGAATGAACCATGACTTCTCTCTTCTTTGGGGTCCAGAATAACTGAAAGTCGTGGGAAGTTTAATTATTGGGGAACAAGGACCTGAAGGCCTCCAAGCTGCAATTTTTTATTTGTTTTTCTTTTCTTTTAGTTTTTAGAGACAGGGTTTCTCTGTGTAGTTTTGGAGGCTGTCCTGGAACTCACTCTTGTAGACCAGGCTGGCCTTGAACTCACAGAGATCAGCCTGCTTCTGCCTCCCGAGTGCTGGGATTAAAGGTGTGCGCCACCACTGCCTGGCTCTCCACGCTGCAATTTTGAGTAGAAATCACAAAGGTATCAGAAAACAAAACAAAAAAAAAACCAAAAAACAAAAAAAAACAACAACAACAACAAAAAAAAAAACACCTGGTTCTCTGCTCAAGGTACTGCAGAAGCAGTCTCATTTCCCTAGCAGGCGGACTTCCTCCTGCAGGGGGAATCCCTGACTGGGAGGAGCAGTGGCCCTTCCTCTTGGCCTTAGACCATTCAGCAGTTCAGCAGGTGCTGGCACAGGCCCTAGCTAGGAGATGGGGTGGGAACTGCTTAGAAAGGGGCTCAGAGCCATAGGAAGGAGTGCAAGGGCCAGGTACAGGGGCCTGGGCCCTTGGGTCTTGGGAGGCATGCTGTAGTGGCTGGGGGTCTTGGGACTTTTTCTTTTGTGTCTTTGTCCAGAGAGCCTTATGTAAGAACTCTTCTTGGGAAACAGGAAGTCCAGCTTGCCAAGTTCAGCACAGGGAGCAGTGCAGGCCTGGTTCCAACACACCCAGCCCAGCCTTAACCCCAGCACCCTGCCAGTTTCTTGTCCCTGGTTCTCTTCCCTGCTGGCCCCTAAACCCCTTTTTTCACCTTCAGTCACCCCTAACAAGCCTCCTCAGAGATCTTGTCCATGCCCGAGTCAGAGGGTCTGCCACACTCCCCTTCTGAACCTCAATGCTGCCTGGCTTATACCCCTTCCCTGCTCCTGGCACCATGCCCCATAACCAACCGACCTTCCCTCCTCCAACTCAGGGGCCGCCCCTGGGCTCCTGAATGCTGGCCGCTCCTTCTGGGTGTCACAGGCTGCTCTGTCCTTCCTAGATAATTGCCACCAAATTCTCCTGAGGCTGGGGGTGTGTGTGTGTGTGTGACAGGGTGACACTAGCTCTACAGTGAGGGCTAAGGGGTACTATTAGTACCCCTAGTTTGCTTTCTTCCTCTCTCCTTTTTATTCTCAAGTTCCTTTTTATTTCTCCCTTGCGTAACTGTGCTCTTTCCTTCTGTGCCTTTGCCTGTATTCCCACCCTCCCTACCTCCTGGCCACCTCATTTCTGAGACCACAGTTGTTGGCGGCGTCCCCAGCTCATGCCAGCCTCATCTCCAGGCAACATGGGGGGCTCAGTCCGAGATCCAGCTCTCTCGGTTGCTCTTTGGTTGAGTTGGGGGGCGGTTCTGGGGGCTGTGACTTGTGCTGTGGCACTGCTGATCCAACAAACAGAACTGCAAAGCCTGAGGAAGGAGGTGAGCCGGCTGCAGCGGAGTGGAGGGCCTTCCCAGAAGCGTGGAGAATCTCCATGGCAGAGCCTCTGGGACCAGGTGAGTAAGGGGAGATGGAAGTCTAGAGGTGAAGGAAAAAGGGCAGAGGGGTCTCAGGGCCTCTCAGTCTGCAAAAGTTCAAGTAGGTGCAAGAGGAGACCCTGGATTTGGTAGTCAAGGGAATGGCCATTCCAGGAAAATAAACTGTTAAAGATTAATGCTTCTTGTACCAAAAACTCCCTGGAAAGGCAGTCAGTGCCCACACCAGGGGCCTAGAAGTGGTGCAGGAATCTGAGCTATTGCTGGTGTTGAGGAGGGCTGGAAATGAAGGCTGTCTTGAGACCCTTGCATCTTTAGTCAAACTACCCTCTGTTATGAGCAGAGCCCTGATGTCCTGGAAGCCTGGGAGGATGGGGAGAAATCTAGGAGAAGGAGAGCAGTGCTCACCCAGAGGCGCAAGAGTGAGTGAGCCCTGGGGTTCAGCAGGGGTGGGAGGTGATCCTGATCCAGAAGCCTGGGGAGTGTGGACCAGAGTTGAGATGAGGGTGGAGGGTGGACTCTGGGGGCCAACACTGCTATTTCCTCCTTCTCTCCTTAGAGAAGCACTCAGTTCTGCATCTTGTTCCCATTAACTTTACCTCCAAGGGTGAGCACGATTTTAAATAATGGCATTGTGGGAGGGGCACCAACCAGGAAACTGTGGGGCTGGGACCAAGAGAATCCTCGAAATGAAAAGGGGGAACTCATGTATCTGAGTGCAAAGAAATGCTGACCTACCACACTCCTCACCTCCAGTGGACTCTGATGTGACAGAGGTGATGTGGCAACCAGCTCTCAGGCGTGGGAGAGGCCTGGAGGCCCAAGGATACGTTGTCCGAGTCTGGGACACTGGAATTTATCTGCTATATAGCCAGGTAACCCCAGACAAGCCCTGAGCCCACAGTACGGGCATGGAGGCTGGCTTGTCATTCTTTTTTCTTATGGACTCCATAATGAGGAGTCCATAAGTCCTTGATCCCTCTGCTCATATCAAACTCAAGACCCTTCCTTACTTCCTGGCTCCTATACCAGGACTCCTGAGGCCTCCTGGGATTGAACCTTGCATTCCTGGTTTTCTTCAGCATCTTCTCCCTCCCTCACAGGTCCTGTTTCATGATGTGACTTTCACCATGGGTCAGGTGGTTTCTCGGGAAAGCCAAGGGAGCCAGGAGACTCTATTCCGATGTATCCGAAGTATGCCCTCGGATCCTGACCGTGCCTACAATAGCTGCTACAGTGCAGGTGAGAACTATGGGGTCAGTAGAGGGTTGATGTGGGCAGAGCAGGTCACAGCAACTCAGGCAGAGCTGACTTGGTGTGGGGAGTTACAGTGGAGTATTGGGAGCCTGGGTGTAGAGGCAAATCCAAAGATTAAAGAACAGGATGCCTAGGTCCTTATGGGGAGAAAAGGTACGGCCCATGAACCTCAAGGTTCATATCTATAATCACAACACTTTGGAAACTGAGGTGGGAAGCTGGCCTAAAGTTCAAGGCCAGTCTACAGTACAGTGTGAGGCTGTCTAAAATTTTTTTTAAAATGACCAGTGAGATGGCTCACTTAGTAAAGTTACTTGTTCGATCCCTCACACCTCACCACTCGAGTTTCTTAGAACCCACATAGCAGAAGAAAGTAACTGACTCTCTCATAAATTGTCCTCTGATCTCCACACATGCATGCCCCCCCCCCGCCAAAAAAAAATGGAAACATAAAATCAAAATGGAGGAGCTAGAGTAGGCAGAGTGAAGTATTCGAGAACTCGTGTGGCTGTGTTTCACTGAGCATCTGGTCTCTCATTTTTTTCTCAGGTGTCTTTCATTTACATCAAGGGGATATTCTCACTGTCAAAATTCCACGGGCAAATGCAAAACTTAGCCTTTCTCCGCACGGAACCTTCCTGGGGTTTGTCAAACTATGACTGTGCTATAAAAGGGGGTTCTGAACTGAGAAGAGCAGTATGGGTCTATACTGGAGACTGCGAGAACTGGCTAGACAAAGGACAAGCAAATGGGCAAGAACCGCTCTACTTGGGTTTGAATTCATGACTCTTGTTCCTCCCTTTGCCTTTCCCGCCCCCACTCCCTGGGATTTACTTAAAGGATATTAAAACGGCAGAAGATTTTGCATTTATGTCCCTCCCAGCTCCAGATTCTTTTGTTGTGTGTGTTAAGAGGGTTCTTGTGGACTGTGCCAAGCCTTGTCCACTCGACGGAGTCCACTAGAATGCATCCACGACAGCACCACCACCTAGCGGCAGCTTGAGGAGAGAATACCGTCTCTGCTAGGGAAACCCGTGCCTCTTGGCCACGCCTCTGCTTCAATTTACAAGAAACCTGTTTTCACTTGTTGTGTCCGAGTTCTTATTATCTAGAGAAACGTATTTATGGTGCGTCGACCTGCATGCATCTCATGCTTCTCATTCCCCTGGTAAACTTCTAAACTGGGCATGGAGCTTCAGGCCTTTATTCCGATCCTAGGGAGGCAGACAGCTTGGTCTAAGCAGCGAGCTCCTGGACATCCAGGGTTACATGGTTGAGACCCTGTCTCAAACAAAGCAACAAAAGACCCTCAAAGATTGGACTGGTGTCTGGGAAGTTTGTATGTACTGGACGCCCTGGCAGCTGGTCGTGTCTCGCGCCTTAATCAAGCCCTGCTTAAAGTTAAAAAAAGAATGAATGTCGACCCCCATCCCGCCTCCATTTCCCCAACTGCCAAGCCTCAGGCCAGCCCCTGTAGGCCCCCTGACTTCCTAGCAGTGCTATGGGATCACTGCATCACCCCCATGCTCAGCTCAGGGCAGAACAGGGAGCATCGTGTGGTTACGACGTAGAGCGTGAGGCCGGACGCGACACGCAGGCGTAAAAGGGCGAGCGGTAGGACTGCCACGCGCGGCCAGCCAGGCCACTGTGCGCAGGCTCGGCTCAGCGTAGCGCTCGAGGGCGGGGCCGTCCGGTGGCCCCGGCGCTCTCAGGTAGGCGGGCCTGGGCCCGGGCTGGCCCCCCCGCCGCCCCCCCCCCGGGGGGGCG